CTTCAGCTAATAAGCAGCAGGTATCTCTCCTTCAGAGAGGACATTGGCCTGTGAGTGCCTCAGAGTTCTAGATGAAATTCTAGAACGTGGGAGCGCTTGTGGCAACCTGCCTAGATGTGGTGGGCTCAGAACCTGCCTTGTGCCAACCAAGAGGAATTTTTCCAATCCAAAGACAGCCTGGCAAAGGCAACCTGGTAGTGACTCAGGTTTCCCAACTCTACTCTTATTACTTTTGTGGTTGCAAAATCAAGTTATTCAGTATATGATTGCCTTTACGTTTGCTGGTTCCCTGCAAAAAGACGGGAGAAAGCAACACACTTTTCAGATGAAACAGTGCTGCCAGCAGTGTAATGTGAGCCAATGGGTTTAGCAAGCTGACGGGACCTTCAGGCAGCAGTGAAGAGCTAAGAGCCTTCGAAGACAGTGAGAGCATCCTGGCTCACGTGACCAACTGAGGCCCAGGCTTCCATCTCTAGGCAGATGGGATCTTAAAAGCTCAGGTGCTTCTCTTACCTGCAGCATTCCTTTGGCCATGGGCATGACAAAAATGGATCCTGCCAGGCTTTGTGCTCCGTCCCAAAGCAGGCTCACTCTGCAGCCCTTTGCTGCAGCACCTCAGCTGCACGCACCCGTGCTGTTGTGGGAGAGCTAAAGGTTCATGGCATTCATCTGCTGAAAAAGCCATGCTGCCTTCCTGAGTGCACCCTAGCGTCAGGGGCAGGAATAAAAAGGCTGTGTTAGAGAAATTGTGACATGCAGCACTAAGTTTTCCCAAAAGGTGTGAGCAATGCTGCCAGCAGTGACCTTGGTCTCAGCTAGCATGTCTCCATTAAGGGCTGGGAGTGCAGAGATTCTCCTGCCTTGCTCCCCTCTGCCTCCCAAAGCCATCAGAAGATCTGCAGAGACAGATGAATTTCTTTACAGAAGATTTAGCAAAGAGAATGAGAATAAAGTAAAACAATTTAAAGTGGCAGTTTTCCCTCCCAAAGAGAAAGAAGTGTGACTTCTAGATATAAAGAGTTTGTGAGCATAACTATACACACACACGCACGTATATATATGTAAAAAAAACCTTGGCTGACTGAACAACAACAAGGTCAAACAGTAAATATTTATACCTTGAAGCCATCAATCCCATCTGTGCTGTGGCATCTAGCCAAAAATGCCTTTGGGGTAGTTTAGCTTGATACAGAGAGAAGCTTAGTGAACTGTTCAGTGTTTTTTCCCCTACATCAGCATTAATAGAGCATTTACATTTTCATGAATATGCCTCTCCCCCTGGCTGAGCCCTCCCCAACACCAAGGAGGCAGGGAAATGTCTCTCTCAGGGCTGCAAAGCCCGTGTAGATATTTGATTGGGGGGGTTCAAGAGAGATACACCGTTTAGGGAAGAGGACTGCAGCAAGGGTAGTCCTGTTGAGATGGACCTTTCCTATGGCCCCACATTGGCTGCCCACTGTTCCAAGCACCTGGCATGCTCAAAGGGGTTACATGGCTTGTGTTTGGGAACAGTAAGCATGGGGTCTGCTCATACTGGCCAGGTCCTACAATGAATGAACTGGGTCCTCACCAGTGCCACCAAACTGGTGGAGGTCAGGAGAAGATGAACTGTGTTGGACTCAACACTTTCTGTACAACTTAGGGAGTGGTGGAACTGTCTTTGCTCACATTGAGTTGGTGCATGGAGGAGCACTCAAGTGTCACAGTCCTGCTTGGTGATGTTCAAGAAACATTTTCAGAGCAGTCGTATGGGGGTATCTCTATCAGCCCTTTATAGTGAGTGGCACCCAGTGACTTCTCCCCTCCCTCCTGCACCACAAACAGCATGCACTGCCTCTCCTGCCTGCCTGGATGGCCTCACCCCAGCCAGCCCCTGCCTTCCTGAGCAGAGCACCCCAAAACCACATCGATTGTGCCTACATATGGTTTCAGAGCAGGGAAGAGGCAAGGTGTCAATGCCAAGACATCCACCTGTCTTTCTGAGGAGGAACGTAGCTGCAGCTTGGAACTGCACTGTCTAAGGCTGCAGAGCAGGGGTGCAGAATAACAGATCATTTTGGTCACTTGTATGGACTTCCTGGGAGACTGTCCTCAAGTCAGAGGGCTTTGGGTCTTGCAAAAAGAAAATAAACACTGGAGCACTGAAGTGACACGCAGAGCCCACTGTGCACAACTGGCTTTCCATGGAGCAAACTATTGGTGGCTATATGCAGGTCCATTCCTGCACAGCCCCAGTTATGAAAGCAGAGCCCTTAGCTGCTGCCACAATGAGGATCCAACCCCAGTAGCTGGTGCTGGGCTAGCTCTGTAGAAAAAGGGCCCATCAGCAGCCTCGTGTTAGCTGGGAGGGAAACATCCCAATTTGAGCCTCTGACAGATTTTAAAAAAAGAACATTATCTTCTCTGTGATGTCTGCTGGCAGGAGATGCTAAACCACTTATTTATAACTATCTTCCTGAAATGCTTCCCTGCTTGGAAGCCAAACTACAAATCCTGTTTGGTTTGTTGTCTTTAACCAAAGGATACCGGTACTTCTGCTTCCAGTTGGCAGGAAGACTCAGCACCAGTGCCAGGCTGTGGTGGGAACAGACTTGGCTTTCAAGGCGCGTTCACACTGATCCAGGGAGGGAGCTTTTACCCAGCAGAGAGCAAAGTTTTCAGAGTCAGGAGAGCAAAGGCAGGCCAGCAGGTGGGTGGCACTGGAGGGCAGCATCCTGGGGAGGAATGAGAGCCTCGGGCAACTGGGGGGAAGAAGAAGTGGAGAAGTGCACCCGAAAGTGCGGTCAGCCAGGCAGGATCACCCTCAGGCAGAAGGGATTCTGGGGAATGCCTGGGGAGCAGAGGGGACTAAGGAGGAGACTCAAGTCACTGGATCTCATATTTAGGCTTGCCTTTGACATAATTCCATTAGTAAACACAGTATACTCTTTGTTACCATTTTATTGTGTTTGTTTTGCTTTTTATAGGGTTTCTATTTCATTCACTTAGGCCTGAGTATTATAGTGACATGAATGTTTTATGAGATACACTTCATCTAGCTTATTTAAGAAAATGACATCCAAGTACAAACCAAACAGCCTCATGGCAGTTAGTGCAGCAGTGACTGCCAGGGAGCCCAGGAGACAGAGGGCAGCAGCAGTGGTACTCGCTGCTGGAAGGATGGTGTTGGTATGGGGAGAGCAGGAGGGTCCTGGAGGAGCAATGGGTGTGGAGCAGTGCTCAGGAGGCTTGAAAGCAGCATGGCTGTGTCCCCCGTCCAGCAGAAGAGCTGGGGATGGTGCACCCTCCCTCCACTCCTCCAACCTGATGCTGGAGCTTTTCCCTCCTCACAGCCCTTGGGAATGAAAGGCACTGTAAAAATGTCATGGGCAGCTTGGGGTGCGGATGCTGGGGATAGAGGTGGTTTCCTCAGCATCTGCTTTGGGAATGTGCCGTCTCTCACCCCATGCTGTCTGCTGGTGGGGATGTGCTCATGGATGGACCATGCCAGGGGCTGAGCCAAATGACTCTGAGTTCCTCTCCTCGTGCACTGCTGTTGAGCCAGCAAGAGAGGTAAGGGACAGGCAGGACACCACCAATGCCACACACACCACAGGACAAAGCATCCTGCTCTGCCCTGCACTGTCCCCATGGATATTCCAGGTGGGGTGAGCCCTGCTTGTGCACCAGATGGAGAACTGAGCTAGGTGCAGAGGCTCAAAGCAATGCTGAAGACATCAACCTGGGGGTTCTGAGTCCCTGGGCAGACTGCATGGACCCAAAATGTGGTGGGGGCAGGTCAAGGAGATGGTCAGAAGGGCAGCAGAAAGTACCAGAGGGCTTTTCTTGGAAGAATTTGCAGGTGTTAGAGCTGGGTCTTGTCTCAGTGGTTTTGTGGGATGGCACCTGACACACATCTCTCTGGGACAGCAATATCACCCTGCTGTTTCAAAGGGCCCCTTCTGCTGTCCTCCCTGGGTAGTGAGGATGCTCATTCACGGGGGACAGGTAGGTTCTCAGGGATCAACTGCAGCCTCATCTCCCACAGATGGCAAAATGACTCATGGTGCACCAGGGAAGCAAAGGGCCTGAATCAGCACTGCTGCAGCTCTAGGGCATCAGAGAAGAATGTACCATGGGACACACCACAGATGTGCTCCTCTCTGTTGGTGAGGCTCCCCTGAAAGGCATGGGCTTCTATGCCTAAATCCCCCTTCAAACAGTGAGATATTGCTGAGGGTTACTGAACAACCAAAGGAAGATGAATGGGGAGCACAGGAGATGCCAAGAAGGGGAAGTGGACAGAGAGAAAGTGATAAATCACCCATCTGAACATGATCTCTATGGCTTCCAGTCCTGGGGTTGAATGCATGTGGCCTCAAAGCTACTGTATCCTGTCCAAGGCATCAGACTTGACTTCAGTTGCTGACAGACCCTGAGAAAAATTATTTCTCTGGCAGAAAACATCTCATCCTCTAACAAGGATTGCCCCAAGGATACAGCTGTCCAATGGACAAGACCTTTCTCACCTGTTCTCATCTGGGAAGAGACATGGAGGAAACCAGCAGCTGCGTTTGGTGGTGACAGAGAAGAGGAAGCCCTGTAGGTAACTACAAGATACTATCACACTGTTCTACCCTTGCCATGGTTCTGCTGACCCCCTGGACACCAAAAAGCAGCCCAGCAGACTGCCTCTGGAAGCTTCCATGTCCTTGAGTTCAAGCCACCAGGAGAATCCACCACGCTAGGGCAGTCCATCACAGAAGAGGAGGAGGGAGGCAAGAGTAGCAGCCCCCAGTGGAGTGGAGCATGGGATGGCAGTATTGTGCAGATCATGCAGATGGCAGGAAGTGGGAGAGATGGAAGCACAGGGTGACTTGGGCGGATGGGGGACATCAGACTCACGATGTCAGAGGCACAACTTGTTATTATCCTTTTCCTTTCCTTTTATCATTAAAGTAAAACAAAAATAGACATATACAGGATTAAATTAAAATCACAGTTCTGTTTACATTATAAAAGAACGGACTAATAGTAATAATAGCATTAATTTCAAATGAACAATAATAATTAAACAAAACAGGAAAAGAAGAAAGCCCTGGAGAATTCCTGCCTGGATGGTGCTCACTGATGGAAGGTTTGTTTGATTGGTTTTATTGTTTGGGGATCATTCCTTTGATAGCTGACTCCCGGTTTACGTAGGTGGCCCAGTAGACCAAGTTGAAAATGGCAAAGAGGACTGGAAAGACGATGCGGGACATCTTGTCTACCTTGCTGACACTGTTGTACGTCTTCTTACTCTCTGGGAACTTCTCCTCTAAGCGGGGCATCTTGGGGGGTACGTTGGTGGCAGTAGCGGTGGCAGAAGCACTCTTGGAGATGGTGGGCAGGCCAGGGTCCTTGGCAATGTTGAGGGGATACGTGGTGCCAACTATGTTGTAGGTGTTGTTGGTTTTCTTCGCTAGTGCCACTGGCTCTTTTTTCTAGGGAAGGTGGAAGAAGAACAGAGATGAGGTGACTATAGAATTGCACAGAGAACATTTTGTCCTCTGAGTTCACTTGCCTGTCTGGATGAGAAGGTGGGAAAGGATGCAAGGAACAAGAGATTGAGAAGGCAGCATTGTGGAAGGAAGGAGAATGTGGTGAGAAGGTGACCAGAACTTGTGACATCCGTCACAGCTGCTGGAGTAGAGGGATGTGCTGGAATACATCTCCTTCAATTACATCACCTGTTCTGTGTAAGAACACTGCCTTAGTGGCCTGAGTATTTCACAAGGACATCATGACGTCCAAAATGCCTCTGGGATTCTTTAGGGCATTGCATGGCCTCCTAGGTATGATATAAAACCAACAGAAAGTGTTTGCCATAGCCCTGAATTTGAGGATTTCAGATGCTATACGAGTGGAGGGAAACCTTTCATCTTGCCTTCATATCTAAGGATTGCTGCAAATCAAGGCAGATAAGTACAGCTCTGCCACAGGCTGCAGGGACATCGGGACATCAGTGCTGTCTGTGCTGAAGGATGGAGAGCTTCTATAAAAAACGGAAAGGATGCACTTATGTGTTTGATGTGGTGTGTTGAAGGATGAAGGAGAATGTTTAAGGAAGACAATTTCAATGTTAGTGAAGATGAGTGGACAGGAAGATAGAACTAGAAAGTCATGATGGATGCTTCCCCTACTCTGGAGATCCTCCTGTTGCTGTCAGGAACTTGGGACCAGATGCACTATAGGCTATAGTGTATGAAGCAATTCAAATCTATTGGGAAAAGCCCACTGAATGAAATCTGTTCACGTGCAGACATCAGGCATCCTACACATCCCAGCACCTCTGTGCGTCCATATGGTGTCCACTGTAATGACACCCAGAGTCAGAGCTAGACACAGCAATGAATCATAGTGGGAATCTAAAATCTAAACTCAGAATGAAGTGTGATTTTGGATCTCATCTTCTATTCAAAAACAACTGGAACACAAGATTAGGCCTGTCCAGCCATTCCCTAGAATTGCTTGGTACGGTCTTGCATGTAAGCACATGGGAACCATGTGCAAAGTGACAGCCAGGAGAAGGGGAGAGCAAACAGCCAGCAGGACATGTTCATCTCAGCCTCCCAGCCTGGGAACTAATAGCAGGCAGTACCTCTGGGTAGCACAAGGAACTGGAAAGGCCAGATTGACCATCTATCCTGTAGAGATGCTCCAAGGGTTTCAGGCTGCAGTTCTGTTGTAAATGCATCCACAGCCACCGGGAATATTTCTGGTTATCTTAGAAAAAGCAGACTTCTGTGCAATCTTTAAATCCCTCTCCAATAACACCGTAGCTCGGACTGCAGCCTCACAGTAATTACAGCAATTACAGCAATTAACCTGCTGTTAGAATGAGGTCTTCAGCATCCAGATCAGACTAAACCACTGATCAGACCATATTCATACTCCTTTTTGGATAATGTGGAAGAGATTGTTAATGATCTTTAATGATTAATTGTGTGACTGATTCCTGCAATTGTTGGAACCACGTCAGCCTTTACCCTCTGTATAGGAGGTGAACTTTTCCTGCTAAAAAGCTGACAAGAAGCAAATAAAGGACAAAAGGTGTTCTACTTTCTAAAACATTCAAATGTGTTTTAGTACGATTAGTTATTAACATAGCTACTGGAGGTAATACAATAATTAATAATCAGTAATGAAATGAAAAACACTTGTTTGCAGAATGTAATTTGAAGTGCACTGTGATTATTTGAGTACTAATCAGCCATAGTACATAAATAAGATGTCTGTAAGTGACATGACATTCTCAGCCTTGGCTAGCTTTTCTGCCCCAGAACTTTTAGAGTGACTTTTTTCAGTTGTCCACAGCTATCTTCTGCCCTGGACAGAGCTGGGAGCCTTTGCTAAACCTCCAGGGCACCAGCTTCCCATCAAGGCACACGTGTGAGAAAACAGGCTCCTGAGATATCAGAAGGAATGGTTCAGCCTGAAGTCACTAGACTGCATTTTGAAATAAGTGTTTCAGGCAAGATTTTGATAATTAAACAAAGCAAAATGTGCTTATCAGCTGCAAAGTAGCCCTCCGCTTTCCCCCTGCATACTTATCTGCAAGGAGTTCCATGTCAGACTGGAACAGAAGGAGAATAGAAAAACAGGAGGAAACCCCACATTTGCATTTGAAAACTTGTCCTAGTTAAAACATCTATGCTGAAAAGCTGTGGCCCAGTTTGGGCTCTGGGAGACCAAGTCTGAGCTGCTGTCTTGAGGGAAAAGCTGTGAAACCTGGTCTAAAGATAAACACGTTCCCTGGATACTGTAGTCTGACAAGTTCTTCCACAAACACACACACTGGATTACAATGGCATTTCTGTCAGATATTCTTGTCTCCAAGGCCCTCTATTGAGGAACTAAAGGATAAACCCCTGCAATTGTGGGAATTACTGGTTCTGCTGATGACCTGTTGGAGACTCAGCTCTCTGCAGCTGCTCCCTGGTTAGAAGTTTGGGTTGGAAGCATTCTTGCCCTGATGGATGTCTGAGAGTCACCATCACTTCTGGCTCATGGATTGCACTGGAAAAATGCAATGTATTTGCCTTTTGCTACTGCAGAGAAAAGTCACCTGAATGCCTCCAAGTAGCTCCAATCTGGGGCATATTTGTACTCTATAATTCAAAGCCCAGTAACTGCAGTTGACGTTCCAGCAAACGTGGCACGTCTCCCTCATGCCAGCCATAGCTCCCCTCTGGAGTGTGCGAGAACCTTGATTGTGCCTGAGGAATGAGGTGTTTTACACGGAGATGTCCACAGACTGAGAAGAGATAAGGGCTTGTGGCAATGTAATATTGCACTAACAAGCAGTCTGTGATACTGTCACCTGCTGGTATGACCCCTGGCATCACAGAATCACTTACACTGGAAAATACCTTTACAGTCATGAAGTCTAACCATCAGCCTTCCACTACGAATCCACAGCTGAGCCACGTCCCTAAGCATCCACACATCTCCTAAGTACATTCAGTGATGGTGACTCCAGCGCAGCCCTGGACAGCCTATTTTATGTCTAACCATCCTTTCCTTAAGAAATGCTTCCTGACACACAGTCTAAACTTTCCCTGGTGCAACTTGAGGATGGTTCCTTGCATTCTAGCACTTGTCACCCGAGAAAAGAGATCGACACTCATCTCACTACAACTTTCAGCTAATTAGAAAAAGCAGCGAGGATTCCTCTCAACCTCCTTTTCTGCAGACTAAACAATCCCAGCTCCTTCAGCCATTTCTCAAACATCTTGTCTTCCAGTCCCTTCAGCAGCTTCACTGCTCTTCTCTGTATGCATTTCAGCAACTCAGTATCTTTCTTGTAGTGAGAGGCCTAAAACTGAACACAGTATTTGTGGTGCATCACTCACCTCTCCCATCTAGTCTTCGTTCTGATTCTATGTGACTGACTGATGATTTTATGATCTCTGGATCTGCAGACAAAGGCTCAGAAGTTGGGTCAGCCCAGTATGCCATGTGGATAGTATTAAGAGAAAGAGGGTGAAATGGTGTGGAAGAATGATGCGTGGAGTCTAGTGAAGATGCTGAAAACATGAATAACGTGCAGTACTATGGGGAGCCACAGGTCACATGTGAATGTGGTAGGACAAAGAAGGAGACATGGGCTGCAGAGAAAGGGAAAAAGTCCCATCGAAAACGAATTTATCATAATGAAGCAGAAAAAAAAAAAAAAAAAGAGGTGGGTCTGAACCACTCTGTGAGTATGTAAATTGGTTGAAGATAGAGGCCTATGAAATCTTGTTCTTTGTTTCAGTTCCCTCTATTGGAAGGAGGGCACTGAAACAAAGATGCCATGGGTAGAAAGAAAAAAAGGAAAAAAACTAATGATTCTCAGATGACCATGATGAAGGGGCAAACTTCAGAATTGCTAAACAGTAGGTTGGACAAAAAGCCTGGCTTCACTCCATTTGAAGTGTGTCCTTATTTGTTCTCATGTGTCAGAGTGCAGCTAATTGAATTGGTTTTTTGTTTCTTTCCACCAAGCATCACTGCAGAGCAGTGCACAGATACAGAGCTAAAATGGACTTTATGCACAGCTGTGACATTGCCAGTGGAAACAGGTTTAGGTTACTGTCTTCCAAGTATGCTCCAACATGAGGGAGACATGACAGCATTCATGAGTTTCCAATGGAGAAATCACCATTAAATGTTGCCCCTCTCAGCTTCCTGAGAAGTGACCACGTTGGCTCCAAAGACGGCCATCCCCATGGCTGAGATGGATGAAGTGCAGCAGGGCCTCATACACAGTCCCTCTGTCCTGAAGTGGGTTTGTTTAGCAAGATTCTTTAAGGATGCTGGAGATTGGGAGTTTCTCTGATTACTGGAGCCAATCTCTTTGGCCTTTCACTTCTCCCCAACTACTATCGTTTTCTACCTTCTTCCTGGTGATGTTTTCTTAAAATTCATCCCTAATAAAAAGTTCTCTGCATTGGATTCAGATACTCTTTCCAGTTCAATTGGCACCATTCAATTGGTTGGTTGAAGCCGCTATGCCACACACAAAAAAAGAGGAAATCATCTACAGTGAAAAAGTAGTAGTAAAGGACAGGATAAGCTTGGAAAATATTTGGGCCCAAGAAGCATTAGTCAAATCATACTAGAGTGTGCATTAAAAGAAATCTTTTGTGAGATCTATGGTAATATCTGTCTGATTTGCATTAGAGAAGGACTGCAGAGTATGTGCAGAGTAGCTCACAGAGCAGCCAGAACCAAAACCCAACTGTGGTTGTAGCCACAGCATGATCATTTATGATGTAGAGATCAGCCACTCACCAAGATCAGCCCATCATTTATATTATATCCCCCAAAACCTGCTTTTCCCCACAGAATTCTCCCTCTAAATTGATGGAATGGACAAAGAGGAGAAAGAAAGAATAGGATGACCCTGGGAAACTGGATGAGCTGGAGCACCTGTCAGCAACCAGCAGCTTTTGCAAGGCAGTGATTTATTTTAATTCAGAAGAGAAGCATTGCTGCTGTGCCTGCATTTGAGGCGAGGGCAGGGCTGACACCTATTGATTTTGCTCACATCCATGAAAGGAAACAATCAAACCTGGACTGAGTGAGGATCCTTGCCATCCCATCAATGAAGAACACTTTCTTTGGCTGGAGGAAGGCTCTCCAGAGACCAGCACTCAGCGTGGTCTTGTCACTGGCAGTTTTACTCCTCGTACCAACGCTTAAAAACGCCAATAGTTTTTCTTTTGCCTCCTCTTTCTTTTGTGGTTTCAACCACCTGGCTTGTCAATTGTTTCAAGAAGAGCTAATTAAAGGCTGGAGCTGAGCCAATAAGGCACCTTCATTCTGTAGCAAATTCACTGCTTGGAAATATTCAGTAGAATAAAGATGAAAGCAAATAGGGTGACACATCATATTCACAAGCTCTCTGAAAGTCCACAGCTGGTCAGGGAATTCTCCTTCAAGGAGTGCTGTCAGATGTAACTATTTGGAGCATGTATAAAGATGTGATGGAGAGAATGGGGCAGAGTTGGAGCTTCTGAGCTGCAGAGACCAGGAGTGGGTGAGCAATCTGACTTTGGATCAGGTAAGGAACAGGGTTGGCTTGAAAAAGCACCTGTAGATTTGGAGTCCTTCCTGATTCTTCATCTGACAGCAAACTCTCACAAGGAGTGCTCCCTCTGAAACATTTCTGGTCCTGCATTGTTTTCTTGTTCAATTACCATATGTGCAAACACTTTTATCCTATTGTTTCAGCATGATTACTTTTACAGTGTTAGGTCAATAAATAAATTGAGGAGAGTGCCACTTTTATGATGAATCAAAACCTTTGGAGCCCTTGCTGCTTTTTTGACTGTGCTCAATTCGCACAATTGCCCACATCTGTGTGAATCCTGACTTTGCACTGAAAGGGGCACAGTTGCTTTGAGGACCTGCTCTGATTCTTTGTTCATGACAATGACCCCAGAAGAGTTCCTCTTATTCCTGAGAAAAGTTCCTCCCATCTCTAGAGACCCAGTTATTGTACACGATGGAGGTGGAAGACCACCAGCAGGCCTCCTCTGGAGCCTTTCTGCCATGAGTCTGGTGCTCAGACCACAGCTGCAAAAGCAAATGAAGAGAGTCCAAGAAATACAAGACAAAGGCATTCAGCACCCAGTGATGGCTGTGGTTCTCCATAAGAGGCCTCTGCCCTCTCGCTGGGACCTCCATACCAGCGAGAAGACTGCCTGTTGTCCTCCTAAAAGTTAATGCAATTCTGCCAGGTAGAGCCTCACAATTATAAACAACATATTAAAATGCAAAGGAGAAAAATATAGAGGCTCCAGAACCAAGAACAAGGACAAATATGATTTTCAAATTGATTCAATAAATACAAGCAAGGAGCAGCATGCTACAGTAAGCGATTTCTCTGCACAGCTGAGATTAAGTCAGTTAGGAGGGAGGGGGATCGAGCAGAAATGGTGATGGCTGTCAGGAAGGATGCTACCAGAGAGGCTGAAGGGAAAACGTGGGTGATGCCAGGCACTAATTTGCTGCCAGTTGCTGTTTCCGATTGCTTGCTTCCCACCCACCCTCTTTGCCCAAGCTTACAAAGCAGCAGCTGTGGTCAATAACATGAGTGCTAGGAGCTCCCCACTGCTGCACCATGCTTGTCCATGTGGAGGGAGACTTACAGCAAGGGATACCCACTGCAGGGACATAGCAAGGTTGGTATCCCGTGGTATATTTGTGTTTGTGCAGCATGCAGGCAACATACAGCAGGATAGAGAGAGATAGAGAAAGGAGATCACCAGTGCAGCAGGACAACAACATGCACGCATTTCCTTTTTGTCCGGAAAATGGTCATGCAGAAGGACAGAGGGAAAAGCGAGCCATTCAATCTGGGTGTTTGTCTCCATCTAAGCACAATGACCAGCCCTCCTCCATCATAACTCAAGAACCGCTTCAGTCAAGAACTGAATTGGGAACCCCAGTAAGTAGCACCCAGCCTCCTGAAGTGCTATGGGGCTGCATGCTACCCACTCCTGGTCCCAGCGCAGCTCTCTTGTGCAGCGTTTCTTCTCTATCACTCCACCCTGGCCTTGGCCACGGAGCTCACCTTCATCTCCTGGGCCTCCAGCACCTTCTTGCCATCCCAAGCCCAGCTGCGCTTGGTGAAGTAGTTGACAGTGGCAAATTCAATCAGCGCAGAAAACACAAAGGCATAACAGACGGCTATGAACCAGTCCATGGCCGTCGCGTACGCCACTTTAGGTAACGAGTTTCTTGCGCTGATGCTTAGCGTGGTCATGGTGAGCACAGTGGTGACACCTGTGGAAACACAGCAGAAGACGAGGAAGCTGTCAGACCATGCACTCGCACTCATCCATCCCTAGCATGCTTGTCCTCTGTCCTTGCTAGGAAAGAGTCAGCAAGAAAACTCGTCATGGGTTACACTGGCCCACAGATATGTTGTCCCCACAGAAAGGAGGAGATTCTGTCCACCACACACATGGACAAAGAGACAATAACTGTGGGCAGGAGTGGACAGTGGGACTCCAGGTCCTGCCTACATGGCCAGGCACGCATCAGTGGCCCAACATGCCAGAATGAGAGTCACTAGGATTTATCTTATAAAATGATCTGCAGCAAAATGCCTTTTAGAGCTTTTTTCATTAAAGCAAGCAACCACTGCTATCCATTTTCCCCAATAATATGCTTTTCAATTAAAAATGCATTAAAAACATTATAAAAATATTGACTAAATTTCACTTCCCTTAAGCTATACTCCTGGTAATTGAAGAGATTCAATAATATTGTTGGCAATACTTTCAGAGAGGAAAAAAAAAAAAGAATAAACAACTGGAACTCTCATTATTTTCTTAATAGCAAAGCAAAGCAATTTGGGAGCTGAGACATTTTTCACAAAGGTAGCTTTTAATTTTTCAATCAGCTCTTTCCTGCTGAATCCTAGTTGCTACTTGAAGAAACCTTTCTAATTGCAAATATCAGGATAACATAAAAGGGAATCAAATATCCTCAGGGAAGGTCTTGTCCCAGGCATTGAGAAAGTAGACACACCCCGGGCTGGTGCAGATGTGGGAGTCCACCTGGGGCACGGACAAGCAGTGGTGCCTGGGTGTTGGCTCTGGAGGGGCAAATTGCAAATGATTCACAGATATAGGTGAGTTGGAAAAGCTTATCAGTGCATCTCTTTATGCAGGCACTGGTCCCGTTTTCCTTGTGATATCTGTCTGAGCTTTGAGATGTTGGAAACCACACCACTTTCTGTCTTAATCAAAAAAGATGAGCTAGTGGTAAGATATACCACTTCTCTGTTTGGTGACTTTTGTGCAGTATGCTCTGTTAGGCTGTATCTGCAGAGCACTGTTATTTCCAGGAAACACTCCTTTTGGCATCAGCAGATCAGGGTATAAGGACAGATGCCTGGGATGGTGTTCCAGCACCAGGGCTCTGCCTGCCCCCTGACAGTGGGGTATGGCAGGGTGTTTGTGTGCATGAGGTGTAAATCCTGAACTCAAGGTCTTGGCAGAAAAGCACGGAGCAGTTCTGTTATATATTTGTGAAAGCTATTAATGTAAGTGCAATGCCTGAGACTTTGCCTCAGAAACAGAATCTGAAACCAGTTGAAGAAAATAATAATATATTTACCATGTAGTTATTCTGCCTCAGCTCAAGAGCCTGATACGTGGAGGTCTGACCAGGGGCACATTAGCAACTTCAAAGGTAGTGCATTAACTGCCTCCCCATGTATCTATCCTCTCCTCAACTCAAAAGCCAATACAGATAAGCAGACACAGTCAAATACATATAATTAGATGATCAATACCTTGATTACTATTAATATTTATGACTTGGCTTGTAGCAAAACATGGATAGGAGTATTTTTGCAGTGATTTAGTGGAAGAAGCACCAGGAAGACACTGAGAGCTATTCTGAGAAATGAACATCAGCTTTATCAATGCCAGTGACTTGGAGGCTGGAGAAGACTGCTCTGATGGCTGGTCCTTCCTTGTTGTTTCTCAGCCATCCCCTTGGAGCATGTTTCTTTCAGTTCCCATTGGCTCTTTTCCCCTTCTGAGACTTGCTCCAAGCAGAACATGCTGACTCAACTCCTGGCAGCCAATGTGTGTCGGAAATTGGGATTCTTGATAATTTGGGTTTTTCTGCCTGCTATGTATTAATAAGGCATCCCATGGAAGGAGAAACCATCCACTGGGGTCCCAAGTCAGAAACTCCCTGGCAGGCAGCAGCCTATACACTGCCTCATCTTGTCTCCTCTCTGTGGGTGTCGACACTGGTATTCGAACCACAGATGCCACCATCCCCATCATCCTGGGCCAGCACCCTGCAAACCCCCAGGTCACTTGGGCAAGGGGAGCTGGCTCCAGTGGACAGTGAACTTGTCCATCTGCCAAAGGGATATTGGATGCAGATAGTCCATCGCATGTACCAAATTGTTCTGCCCTATGAATCTAGACAAAGGGCTAATTTCCCATCATTTGCCTTTCTCTCCAGCCTGCCTGGGGACCCCCCATGCTCACAGACTCACCAAAAACTGTTCTGGCGGGGACAGACTCCCTGTTCAGCCAGAAGGAGACCTGGGACAGGATTACCGTCATGATGCAGGGCAGGTAGGTCTGGATGACGAAGTACCCGATCTTCCTCTTGAGGTGAAAGTGCGTGGTCATGACAACATACTCCCCTAGGGACACAACCAGTTAGAGGCACAGATCCACTGGGTGTTCAGGATGGGCCAACGAAGCACTAGCCCATCTCTGAAGCAATAAAGGTCTGTGTTGAGTGAACCTGCAAACTCTTAGGTTTTCTGTGACATGCCTGAAAATATTCTGCTTTTCCTCACTTTAATAACCTCAGAAAATAGGGCAAGTTCTGTGGTTCAAGGTCTGGGCTGTAGACCAAAAGAGCAGCTGTCTCTATTTTCCTTCAGTGCCCTATTCATCCTCTCAAAGAAATGCACCAAAGCTTTGGATATTTTGCTGGATTATTGTGCTTTTTTGTTGTGAGTATGGCTCTGCTAAGTCATTACACACAAGAGCCTTTAGCAGCTTTCTTGCCATTTCAGGTTATTCATCTGTACATTTTACTACAACTTAAGTAGAGAGATGGGCCAGATATGATGACATTTAGTCCCCTGGACTCCCTATATTTCCCCAAGGGAGGTGATATGAGTTGTTACAGACAGACACTATTAAAATCAAGTGCACCAGAGAGGAAATATCCTCAAATGAGAGAACTACTGGTGCATACAGCAGAAGAAAGAAAAAAAAAAAAAAAAAGCATGGAAAATAAAATGGGAGAAATGAGAGAAATACACAAGATAACAGAAGCTATCAGTACCTGAATTCAGAGGGAAAGGGAGGAGGAGCAGATGGGAGAGAAAGATGATTAATATTGGTCATTAATCAGAGGAAGCAATTGTTTGGGAGAATCTTCTATTAGCTATGATAATATTTGTGTAAGCAGATGCAGTGAAAATCACACATCATCATGTTCCACTTGCCTCCCCTGCCTGCAATGCTCTCCTGAGGGGCTGAAAAGGGATCCAAGACAAATGAACCTGCAGTACCAAGGACTAACTGGGCAAAATGGGGCAAATTTTCCACACAACACATCATTTCTAGAGAGATGGGTGAAAACACTAAAAGCTAAACAACTTACTGCCTTATAGTGACTGCCCCAGATACATTCTCCAACAGCACCATGGTGCTTGCAGCCTGCAGGTACTACCACTATCATTATGCCAAATTGTGGCATCCAACGCCCATGGGTCCATCTTGCCTTACAGTGTTCTCAACCTGTGCATCTTATGGTCCCAAAGGTACCTGTGCTGGATCGAACCATCTCTGTCCCAACAACATGGCCCAGCAGGTCATACTGGTTCAGGCGAGATCCACCCTTTGCTACTTCCACAGATTTATCCTTCCCCAGGGTCCAGGTGTAGATTACCTCTGTTTTTGTGTAGGCATCTGTGGAGGAAAAGGAAGAATGAGCTCATGCTCCTGGCTGACCTAAAATACACCAAAATTAGCCTGTGGCCAAACTAATCCTTGCTATGCACTCCTCAGAGCCACATGGCTGAGCACAGCCAAGCATGGCCAGAGACCAAAGCAGTTCAGCAGCTGCTAATCAAATGAGCCAAAGGGAGCTACAGTTTTGGGAAAGCCCCACCGTGACCTGACAAAGACTGGGACAGACCTGCTGGGAGTGGCTGTGAAGACAGCTAGCACACAGATAGGGTTGATTTTTTTTGTTGCTTCAATTAAAAGTAAAAATTAAAAGTGTTTACCTTCAGGAGAAGCTCTCTCCAAGCCTCACAGCTCCGGAGGTGTTGTGCCCTTCCACCAATCTGCTTTTTCCACTGCATGATCACTGCATGCAGGCAGCCCTCCTGGCAGTGAGGGAGGGCACTGCTGAGCAAAGCTTGCCATCACACTGCAACAGGGACAGCCAGCAAGGGCTACAGGACTGCTAAAAGGGGAAGTACTGTGCTCAGAGCAAGGGCAACCTTACAGGGATTTGGGAGATCCACTCTCCATCCAGTTTCCTAATGCTTCTCTAAAACCAACGCAGTCATCATGTCTTCATGAGCCCTTCTGTCCAAAAGTCTCTTTGTCCCCACAGCTACTCCCTTTCCCAACAAAACCCACACATTGTCAATGCTGCAAGTCCTACAGTATCCAGAAATGAGTTTTCATCACATGCTACCAGGTGCTATGACACTTCATAATGCTCAAGCTTCCTGTCCAGACCCACTTTGCAGTACTGATCTTGGAAAGAACAAAGTTCACTATCTGCAAAATGCTTTAACAAGAATTTTTTCATTCATATTTACAACCAGCTTTTTGTATTAAGACATCTCCGCCTTGGGTCACATCAAGCCTACTATGAAAAATTCTTGACTCCTGTTTTGTTGTTGATTGCATTCTTAGGTAAACAGAATCAAAATGGTGTTTTGGAACTTCAGTACAATTTGAGAGCATTGCACGATGGCATAAAGTCACTAGAAGAGGATTAAAGAAGAAATACTAGTCCTAGTAAGGTTCACAGGTGGAAACAAACTTCCTGCAGAAATGGACCTGATGAAGGCATTGCTAGAAAAATATTCCTTCGGAAAACAATAGGATTCTTTCTGCCTACTAGTTTGGGTAGCTTAAATATCTCATTTCCTTGCATATTTCCATAATTAACAAGGATGCCACCACCCCATTTCCCCAGCAAACAGTCACCGGTCTGTGATGTCACCGTGATGCAGCACGGTCACCACCATGACGTCTGTGACCATCCCAACCCACTCCCCACTCCTCACACCACGGGTGCCACTGCGCTCCATTCTGCTGCTGGCAGGACGACCCTGGTTGGCTGGGGAGATGCTGCGGACAGAAACTTCTGTCAGGGCGAACAATTAATTATTAAAATGGAGACATCTTCATCAGAAACTCCTGGAGTTCCTGTTCCAAATGCTGACTTGGCAGACTCGGCTTCTCCTGTCCCGCAAAGACGGGGTAAAAGAACAGCTCGGGATGCTGCCTTAGGACCGACACGAGAAGGAAACACTGCTCAGGGGTCACAGGAGGAATCCCGTGTAAAAAGGCAACGGCTTAATCTTTCCACCAAGGGCTCCTGCAAAGCCCATGACTCGTCATGCTTCTTTCTAAGAAAGCTCCGTAACACTGTGGAAAGCGATTGCTTTCAGTCCATCTGGTGGGGTGACGATGAAAACTCCATTGTGATTGAGGAAACCCTCTTCAAGACAGAAGTGCTGGGAAGGACAGGACCTCTACACAACCTCAACATTGGTTGCATGAAAGCTTTCGTTCACCAGCTCCATCTGCACGGATTCTTCATTGTGGACAGCGATTTGCCCACATCTGCCTCATGGGCAAAATTCCCAGCAGCCGGAGCCGCGTCTGTTTGCAGTGAGGTACGCAGTCCCCCTGCCCATGGGACACCTCTCGGCACGGGTGGGATTGGTGGCTGGTCCCTCCTGAGGGGGCTGCAAGTTGGTGGTATTTGGGTTTCCAAACCCGCTTTCCTGCTTTTGAAAATCCTACAGTTTCTGATTATTAGTTAATGTAGCTTTGTCTTTTCCAAGCTGGAACATGGTGGCATCTAACTCTTCTCCTCTGCATTTTGCAGGTACTCTGCTACTACAACCCCAACTTCAAGAGAGAGTACCCACATCTGTTAAGATGGTTCAAGCGAAGCGGTGGCGTACGAAGGAGAGCATCAGCTGCATTCCCAGCAGAGCTGGATTTCGAGGAGGGCCCCGTGAGCAGCCCTCCGAACAGACGGCGAGGCCCTGCAGCAGCAGCGGGCAGTGAGCGCGCCGGTAGCAACCAGGATGCTGCTCCTGCTGCATCTGCTGCTCCTCCATCGCCCGAACCAAACGATCCTTCTCCATCAAGGCTGGGACCAGACAGCAGACCTGGAGGCGATGGAGTTGGACATCAGCACAGTTTATGCTATAGGAGATAGAGATCCCAGGTACCAAGTGAATAGAGTAGAGAAGTTCCAGAAATAAATGTTCTGAATATTTTCCAGTTCTCCTGTCCTGTTTCCTCATTTGACGGTGGCTCTTCCTGGGCCCAAGGGTGGGGGAGATTTCATTTCTCTCACCTGGTCCAAGCGATGATGGGAGCAACGGCGGGAGCGGGGAGGTACAGGGCGTGAGCTGGAGCTGCCTCAAGTACCCGATCCCCTTCCTTCTCTCTGCCTGTCCTCACTGGGTAGATGCCACCGTGGCAGTGAGCCATTTGGCTTGTGGGGATCCCTGGTGGTCATGGAGGTGCATTTGGCTGTCCTGCAAGCAGCATGTGTCTGGCAGCAGCACTGCCCTTCTGCTCACCACCGCGAGCCATGCTGAGCTTCCTGCCAGGGAGCGGCTTCCAGCTGTGGGCAGCTTGCTGGTGCAAACACTGATTGAATCCTGCTCCAACATGAGAGGTGAGCTCCGATTCCACACAGGTGGGTGCTTTGGGAATATTCATACTCACAGTAATCAGGGACAGCTCTCTGAGCTGCTTGTATCAGACCTTTGAACGTTCCGAGGAGAAATCAGTAAAAAATACCCAGAGGAGCCACAGAGATAATAATTCATCAAGGACAGGAGCAGCTGCAAGACTGGTAAGGCTGGGAACAGCCTTCACCTCACCAAGAAACTGCAAATCTTCCCTAAATCAGGACTTGGTTGGTGTTGGGACTGAGACTCCCAGTCTGCCTGCTCTTCACTTGAGAGCAGGCTGCCTGACCATGTTCCTTGGTCATTTCTGATGACAGCAGGAATTTTGTGCAAGACACCAGAAACAAATTTTTGGTTGTGTTCCCATCATCAACTATTCTGTAATAACACCATATCTAAAACCCTGGAAGGCACTGGCCAGGTGAAGGATTGTTCTTTTGTTCTTAAGCCACCTCCTTACAGAGGCTGATCAAGGTACTTACAGCTCCCAAATTTCAGCGGGCATGCGTGCACATCCATTGGGAAGTCCTCCAGGTGCATGGGGCACTCTGCATGAATGGTTAGCCTACAAGACAGAACACAAGGCATGGTCAGAAATACCAGGCTGCAGAGGATCCCACCTGGCTCTTCTGCCATGACATCTTTACGCCACATCCATCAAAGGCAACAAAGGCCTCGATGTGGTCACTAACCTAAGGGTCTCTGGGCAGAAGGCCATCAGCTGCTGAGAGCAGCAGGCACACCAAGCTGGCCACATTTCATGTTTTGAACTCAGCCCTACTGACTGAGTTTATCTACTCAGTGCAATCAGAAAATCTGCCAATGCCCAGGACTTTTGTTTGCTTATGAACTGTGCACAAGGAGCTCATTAATGTCTGGTGCCAGGGGATATCTCATGGACCATGCTGGGAAACAGAGGGAAAGTGCTTCCAGGGACAACTAACATGGCTTTTTCTTCCCAGTGGCCTGGAAGGAGCTGAGGGCTCAGATTATTCAGTGAAGCCACAGTGTGCTTCAGGTACACTGAACAAAGTCAGAGCCACGTGCACGTGGGGCACCTGAGCTCATGTCCCCAGCCAGTGGTGGCACTGTAGAAGATGCACACAGCAGATGCAGAATCGTGCATCCTGGAGCTGTTGTGAGACTGCAGGACAACTCGTGCTCTTCAAGCATCCATCATATCCCAGCGGGATGCCCTGTCAGGAAGCAGCCTCACAAGGGTGGTGCAGCCATCATCACAGCATGCTGCAGAACACGGGGCCAGGCATGAAAGGATCCATTATAAAGGGCTCTAAAAAAGGAAGCTCTAAACTCTTCCTTCTTGAAGTATTAAAAAGCCTGCAGACTAGGAGGGAGAGCCAGAACAGATGACTTCCCAGGAGACTTCTAATACCATCTTCTTTGGTGGTACAGTTTGGTCTAAAAAAGACCCACTTCTGATGGCTCAGAAAAAACAATCTCTTACAGAAGCAAGAGAAGGATTCAGAGGACAAGTGCACAAGCCTGAAGGGTAAAGGTTGCCTGTGGAAAACTCAAGTCAAGAGGCACAATGGAAATATTCCAGCAAGACATATTCCTTTAGCTGCAAAATGGGCATCTAACATAAAGAAAATGCTGGGATTAGTTACTGTCCACAGAAAATGTTGAGGCTAGAACCTAGAAAAAATAAGGGGTGCAGATTTTGTCTGCAAGAAATAAAGACAAAGAAAAATGAAAAAAAAAAAAAAGAAAGAAAATTTTAAAGAGAGAAAAAGAAAGGGAAAGAAAAGAGCAGATGTTTTCATCGATGAAATGATTCTAGAAAAAAAGAGGATTATTTTTTAAAGTTGGCATCAAAGAGTTTTGTTGGACAGAAGCAAACACATCCCAGAACACTCTAAGCACCTTTGCGGGGAAACCAAGCAGAGGGAAAGTGGTTTGGGGCCAGTGGAGCTCCAGGGCCGCTCAGCGAGGACAGAGGCTGTGATGATGATGACCGCAGGTGGCAGATGACAGGCAGGAGTGAGCTGTGTGCCAGGGATGGAGCAACAGCACACTCTTGCAGAGCTGCTCCACTTTGGCTGCTGTACCGTGAAAACACCCTGACAGCGATGAAGTTTGCTCTGCTGGGTGAAGGAAGGAACCTGATTTTGGACCCGTATCCAGTCTCACTTGCTGCTTTTAGAGGATGTGCAGAAGCTGGCATCCCAGGCAGAGGCACTAAAGAGGTGGAGGAGCAGAGCTGGAAGCTGCCACAATTTCGATGGAGTAGGGTGGCCCATGTGCATGAACAGGAACCCCTGAAGCACTCACAATGGCTATAAAATCCAGTAAATCCATCCTTAGGAGAGATCTGCGAGGATAGGCACCTGGCCCCATTGCAGTCTACGTCTTAGTCTTGTATGGCATGGCAAAGGAAACAGGTGAGGAAAGTGGTTTCCTGTGGCCTTCTGCATCTCTCCCCAGGGTAGGTCAATGGTACCTCCCTGTTCTGTAATTCAACAGAAGTAAATGCTCATTTCTGCTGTTTTTCAGTGCCAGGTACTACTGTCCTGTCTCCAGTGGGCACATCCACCCCAGAATTAACCATACAAACAGCAACTCCCACAGTCAGGGCAGGCTCAGTTCTGATAAGCATTTCTCAGCTAACTCAGCACCAGCAGGACATGGCCCATAGATCCTTACAGAGATGTTGGGCTCTCAGCCCAACCATGGTTGATGCAAGGCTGCATACTCTGGCCAAGTAGTCACAGGTTGTGTATCTGTGCAGGTAGACTCCACGTCCAACAGAGAAGACCAGTGGACGTTTATGGAGAAGTACAAAACCCAGGCAAATTCAGAGCTCTTGTCAAGCGTGTGAGCACAGTGGTGCAATGATTTTCTTCTCAGGACCTAAATAATGCTACCAACCAACTGCACCTTCACTTTGATGTCTCCTTTTTTGCAATCTGGATGAAAATTAAGACTTCATGAAGCAGGTATAAAAACCTGGTAGCAAGGTGTGAGTTAGAAGCCTTGCTCCTCTCATTCAGTTTCTCATGAAATGTGCCAGCTTGGAGATGGAGAGCTTAATTGTTTGCAAGCATGTCTTCAATGGCTTTAACACTCCATTCTTTCTGTTTCCTTTCCAACTGCACTGGACTTTTTGCTCCTAGTATTTGTCATTGTCACTTGCATAAAGGAAATGCTGATGCACAAAATTTAGCATTTCACCTGTCTCCCTCAGGAGGCCACACAAGACTTTTCCTTTTAACCCTCCTGATATTTCTTTGGCTTCACCAATTGCTTTATTATTTCAAAAGGCTCTTAGCTGGGTGTTCCCAAAGCCAGCTTTTCCAAAGGACTTTTCTTCCTGCTCAGCGCTTTACTTCTGATGTGTCCTGAATCCCCAAAAAGCAGAATGGCCTTTTTCATCCACTGTACTGGCTGAGAATTTTGGCTGTGATCCATGGCTATGGATAAGGCTGAACACCAACAACTCAAGGGACCACAGATTATGGGTCCAGTGGCTGAGTGCCATTCAGAACAGCCAGAAAGACTCTCAGAGGGGGCCAGGCAGCAGCAGAGCTGGGCACAAGTTGGCCTTGGCCATACCCTGCTGCCCAATCCAGGCCACAGCCAACATAAGCAACTGCTGTCAAGGGGAGGAGACAACTTTATAACAGCGCTGGATGACTTTAGTTGTAAGGGAAAACAGCGGTCACATTCTACATCTGAAGTGTATTTTAATAGCTGAGTCAGTAAGAAAAAAACAAAATACAATAAATCCATCAACAAACTACTGGAAAAGCAACCTAATCTTCCACCTTTACCGCCCACAATTGGAGGAGGGTTTTGAAGTCTCCTGAAATTAAATAAAAAGGAAAACACTGTATCATCCCAGTGAGATGAGTCTGGTTCAGCAATTTCAGCTAGCCTGAAGTCAGCACGTTCGCAGACAATGCTTGCTGAAGGGAAAAGGAGTGCAGCATTCCTGTTCTCAGATATTCTCCTTGGCCTGAAGCCTCTGCCTTTGCCCCACGTGCACTGGCTCCCTGAGAAGCTCTGTTCCACCACCCCATGTGCACTGCTCACTCCTTCCCACCCTCTGCGCCCCTTGGCTATCCTTCACCCCCCTTCACCATGCCCTCTCCAGCACACGCTCATCTTTCAGAGCACTAATTAGCAGCAGTATTTAGGTGAGCTGCGGCATCAATCACTGCTTAGCAGAGTGCTCACATCCCCCCCCTCTTCCTCCCCTCAGCCTTCCCTGCCACCTCTTGTTGCTGGAAGAGGACTCCTCAGCACCATATGCTCTGCCTAATGAAACGTCAAAATGTCAGACTAAGAGGAATGTATCTCACTTCCCAGACAATTACCACTGCCTCTGCAGCATTTGGGTAGAACAGTTTGTTGCAGAAAGCCTCATCTTTGCCCCTGACCCTGTACCAGCTTGCCACGGAGATTTGCTTCATCACTCAGGTTCAGGTCTGGACATCTGAGTCTTGAAATGCTATCACAAAGCCTAACCAGAATGTGAAAAATAGCCGGACTGCCAGCAACCACATCCTCCAGCTGCTGTATCCTTTGGCTCTTCTGTCCCAGCCACAAGCAATAACTTGTTCAGAACTGTCTTGAAATAGAACTGCAGACCCCTCGTGTTTTCCCTCTGCTTTGCTGCCACAGCAGCACCAAAAGTGGAACACCCAGTGAGAAGCCATGTTTTCCTCTTTAAAGTCACGGGAAGCCCTTTGAACTGCTCAACACAATGGCAAGAAGCGTGAGTCAAGCTAAACATACCTCTCCCAGGGCTGGCGGTACAACAAACCTCTTCAGCTGCGTTCTCATGGTTACCGGCAGCTTAGCGAAGCCTTTGATGTGTCATTAGAGCCCCTGTCGTTACCTGCCTCATGCTGCAGGATGAGCGAGAGCCGTGGTCCAATTTCTGGGATGCAAAATGTAATAATCCTTCGGTGTACGCATGGCACAAAAACATGACAGCACCCCGCACAGCAAAGCCAACTTTGTTTATGCTGAGGATATTGCTTGAGTTTTGTCCTGATTTCTCCTCCAGGAGAGTCATTAATAACCACAGTCAGGACAGATAGGTGGTGTTCGTGGTTCGGGCTGTGCTCAAATCTAGGTTAGGTTTAATTGCTGGGGTTTGAGTTTGAAAGCCATGTTGCTACTGGAATCCTTGTGCTGGATATAAAAACACCAAATTCACTCTGCAGCCCCCAGGAGATTTCAGCCCGTGATGGCAGGAATGCAGGGAGATGAGGTGATCTCTGAAGATTTCTCCCTCTTGGGACAGCCTGCAGAAAACTAAGCCTGGAAAATAGGTCGTTTTTGCTTTTGGATCCACTCTGGAAACAGTTTGGAAGGGAAAAGCTTCAAACTGGCTATGCAAACCTCAGCCCATCTAATCAGCTGTGTGCATTCTCAGCAGTCTGCTTTGGTCTGCTTGGGTCTGTTTGTGCTTTTGTCTACAGCTAAGGCCAAGGTGGGATGAAGCCAGAGAGCTGTCAAATAGTCCAAAATGCCCAGAGGAGCTGGTTCTGTGGTGTCCGAGCTGCTTCTCTGGCAAAGAATTATGGTTCACCTCCATCATGTGGAATAAAGACAGTAAAGACAACACAAAGGCTTGGCTGGGAGTTACCCTGTTACCCTGCAAGACCCTGTGACTTCAAAAAGGAGCCTGGATGTCACCAGCCCTAAGCATGTTGCAGTGAGGTATGGGGCTTGTTATCCAGGGCCATGGCCAAGCAGGACTGCATGTGCCCTGCGCACCTTTGTGCCTTGCTTTCTCTCCTGCTCTGCCCCTAATTCAACCAAAGCTTCACTTCTCCTTTCCAGGTGCACATTGCATTTAGCAATACATGTTCCTGAGGCACGCAGCTGAATGCGTCAGTCCGACAGTTAAAGAAAACATCCTCTGAGTGCATAACTTGAGCACATATTGTCTGGGAAACACTCTGACAATAAGCACAAAGCCTCGACATGCCACTCTGACAGCCCCTCTGAAGAGCAGAAGAGCTCTTTAAAGCCTGGATTCACACAGTTGAATCCCTTCGGCACAGCATCAAGCTTTCTCTGTTTTCATGTTTCAAGGCCAGGAAGAACCAGAACATTATCAATGTGCCCCACACAATTTGAGGCAGAGATTACATCCAGAGATTGCTGCAGCAGCCAAGTTTTTGTCCGTGCCTTATGTAAATCCATGCACAATCCCTGGTTTGCTGCACTCAACTCTGACATCAGTGCTTTGAGGCCCTGGCTGGGCTTTGTGAGCTACTCAGATGGTATAGGAGCTCCAGAAACAAGACAGCAGAGCCAGGGCTACATGATAAGGCTGTGTTTCCTACACCCTTGAAGGCATCCGAAGCAACAGGGAAGAGGCTGACAGTAGCCCTGTCCATGGCTCAGCAGCCAGAAGGAAGGGAATAGAGAAACACAATTTTGTGCTGTAGTCACAAAGGTCATCTCATCACCCCGGTGCCAAGCCTGAGCCAGGGATCAGATGTCTGCACTGTGGCACTGCACTGATCTGTGAGGAGGCTGTGCTGTGACTAAGGGCAGTTTCTGGATGCCCAGCTACAGTGGGTGTGTGACTCCTTGAAGCTCAGATCAGTAACAAAGAGGCTCTCACCAGGAGTTATAAATATTGTCACTCAGGTGTAATTTTGCTGGATGCATGTGTCAAATGTTCTGTTCCACCAGAGCAACTTCATCCATAAACGTAAGCCTTGACTAAGAGAAGTTGGCTTTCACAGCAGGATAAATAGCAAGAGACACATCTCTAATTGCACATCAGCAGAGCTGATTCCTCAAAGATATTGGCTGGTACAAGGTAAAGGAGGAGGACATGTCTCAAGAGTCAAACTGCATGGCAAAGTTCCAGTCTTGACCGAACCTGAAAGGGACTGCCTGGGCCAGAGGCAGCATGCAGCCCTGACAGCCCAGCCCATCTATCCTGACAACAGGAGGTCCACATGCACTATGGTTCTCAGCGATGGGCAATACAGTATGTGATAAGATATCTGGTCTTCACCTTGCAAAGATGTATATGTAAGAGAGACAAGAGCAGACACAAAGGTGGTTCCTTTGTGGAACTTCCTTCATCATCCCTCCTTCCATGGGAATGGGCTAAGCTGAAGGATGTGCTGAATTTACTTAAAAGCCCCTGTGACTCTGCTTCCTTCAAGAAGCTTGTTCCCAAAAGCCTCGTGATGCTGGCATCTGCCCAGCCGTAAATGGAAGAGCAAATTCAATACTTTCTCTGTCACACAAAACTTGCTGAAGCTGATGGTTGTTTGCTGAATAAAGAACAAGCGAAGTGATATAAAAACCCTGAAATTGGGTCTTTTTTCTGCCTTATGCCAGTAGCTCCTCTAATACTGTACAGTCAGACAATGATACAAACTGGGGGAGTGTTAGTCATCCACATGCAGGTCAGACAGCCAGGAACAGAACTGAGCCCTCAAGTCAAATTGGGCTTCTCTCTTCATTTACCCCATCTGCCTCGGTAACATGAGATCCTTGATGTTCAGAGACCCAAACCCCCAGGGCACAGGCAGGATTAGCTCATATCTGAGAGCTGCTGCACAAAAGCAGAGCATTGTTTATCAATGTAGGCTGTAAAACTTGCTGACATCGTAGATCAGCAGCCAGCACAGCTATGAAGAGATGAAATCCTGTCTGGTCCCCAAAAAGCAAAGGTGAAAGTGCAACATCTCAGCCAACCAAACCCACAGAGAAGTGTGCTACTAGTCTGGATTGGCTTGAAGATGGAGGCAGAGAAAATAATTTTTGAAGACAAAAATGTACACCTTTCCATAAACACCTCAGTACCATTTTTATGCATCTATGAGTAGCTTGCTGCTTCATTTATAGGTCTATTTACCTTGGAAAGTGGATTAGCACATCATTCCCAGGTGGCAAACATTACTTACATGGATGAATAGCTATCAAGCATATAGGAACCTCTCGACATGAATGAACACATACTTAACCCAACCTCCACCTGTCACAGTTCGTGGTAAGTGTACATACCAGAGCTGTTCTTGAGAGATGCAGAGCATGGTTCCCAGCAACCACCTATTTGCAGAAGGAAGGCCCCACAGCAGAATGAGGCAGCTTGTAATACAGTCTGTGGACTCATGCTGCACATGGCTGCCCTGTGGCTGGGACTTCTGCAGAAGACTTTTTTAAAAGCTGGTGATTTTTTTCCTAGAGATGATCACTGACTAGACAGGTTGGGATTTTGGATTCCGTGAAGTAGGAAGAAAACCCCTGTTCTCACAAGCAAACCCCACAGGGCTCTGGGGTAATATGCTGAACAAATTCAAATCTGTTCTCAAGCTGCTGGAGAATATCTAATTCTCCCCTCTTAATGTTTCCTACCATTACCAAAATCCTGACTTCATATCCCATCAGAGATCAGGAACAAAAATAACCACAGTGGCAAAGAAATTCCTCAAACTATAGAATTAAATACTTTCACCTCATCACAGAAAAGAAAAAAAAGTCAACTTGAATGATGAGAAAAAAGCTACTTGCACAAACGTGCTGAAGTTGAGGACCAGTGATGCTACGTAGGTAAGAAATAAGGATAGTAGGAGTAGCAGCTCTGCTATGCTAACAGTGAGAGTCCACACAGTTGTTACATACCCTTGGGGTCCCGTAGTAGCTTGCACGTGTACCTGGAAGACCCTGGCCCAGAGCCACAAACTCACCTCATTGTGTACAGGAGCGTGCCATTATCCACCAGGCGCAGCAGCTTGTTGGGCGTTGTCATGTTGTGGGCAACAGATTTCTTCCCATTGTGGAAGAAGGTATCAGGAGTCCAGATCTTGCTTGCCAGCAGGTTGTTCAGAGGAAGGATCTTCATGGGACCGTCAAACTTCAGCCTCTCGTCTCTCCAGGATTGCCGGAAAAAAACATCAATGGTGTATTCCTTTGTGGAGAAAGGAGAGAAAAGTGAGTCTTACCCCTTTCTGTAAACACCTCTAATACTTCACAGTCAGTGATACAAGCTAGGGGAGCATTGGTCATCTACAAGCCTGTCAGACAACCACAAGTCAGACCAGAGCATCAAAACCCCACAGCTCAATGGTGACCCCAAGGCAAAATGAGATCAGTATGTGGCACTTGCATGTGGGCTGCTGTTCCTCTGAGCCATGCCACCTCGTGCCCTTTCTGGGCTTGTGTCACTTGAGGGAAATGCCTGATTCCATCAGCATGAGCTGCTGCACTGCTCACCTCTGTGACACACACCTCGTCCTGCTAACAAAGGATCTCATTAGTTCCCAAGATTATCAGAGAGAGAAGGGGACTTTGGAAAATCTGTCCCAGCTGTTCTTCCCCTGCCGCTGCAGTTTCATAGTCTTTATTTATGGGCTCCTGGAGGCTGCAGAACCAAATAAACTTATCATTGTGAGTGATTTCTTTCCTGCAGCTCTTCTCAGCAGCATTTAAAAGCTGCTGCACATCACTTTCTTATAGGTCACAGAAATTCCTACAGGTTTTGCAGCAGATGGCAGCTAAGCAAAAGCATCTCAGTAAAGAAATTCAGCCTTGCTCCTTGGCTACAGAGCCATTCTGTCCAAATATGAAGAGAGAAAGAGAGAACCCTATAGTCCCATGGCTCTTATCCATAGGGAATATTCTGCCCCTCCACAGAAGATGACCCTCCCTTAGTGGTCTCAAGTTCAGTAAAGACATTAGTCCAAATGAATCCATCCATAGGAGGTAGGTCTGGTAAAGTACTTATTGGGATATAATAAGAATGAAGAGCCCTTAATTCTTATTAAAGCTAAGGAAACACTCCCAAAGAATAGAGATACCATGTAGATATTCTTCCCCTCTTTTTTATCCTTCTTTCCACAAGAGCATAATTTCCAGGTCACTCCTTCCAAGGAACACACTAGCTTCTAGGCTATGTTCTTCTCTGCCTTATAGAAGTAACTGAGCACATGACGACTGAGTCCTTCTCCTGATTCCATCCACCAAAGCATGAAATTACTTTTTTTTTTTCTTTCAAATTTTCCAGGGACTGAGGCCAAGCTGCAGGAGGTCACTACTGAAGATTTGGGCGTATGTCAGGTCCCATCAGCCTCTTTCCCAACCAAATTGAAAATGAGACAAGAAGTCCCTCAGAGCATCTCCTGGAGAAGGCACACACGTCCTCCTCCGCATTTCGTTACCAGCTGCTGTCCTCCGCGCTGCACAGCAGCTCTACCTGCCTCTCCTCCATCATCATAATTACAGCCTGTGTCTGCATCACGATGCACAGGAGCAGCTTTCCATCGCGATGAGTAATGGCTGTGGGAGGGACGGAGCCAGCTCATCGGGCAGATGTGAGCGGGAAGGGAGGGACTTCCCTGCTCCTGAGATGAAAGGAACCCCCGCGGAGGAACGGGCTCTCCCCACGCTTCCAGGGGAGATGGGGTTTTTCTCACACATCCCTGAGAGCATTTAACACCAGAACGGCACGCTCAAACACATTCGCCACGCATTTGTAAAATACACGGAACCAAAGCATGCGCGGGGGAAATAATTTATTATTCTTTAACTGTCTCCCTAATTTTAAATTCATTTTGTCAAATCACATCACGGAGAATACCTTCCTCTTTTCAATACCTCAAATTTCTTCTTCACAGTTCATTATACACGCTCCCTTAATCAAATATGCTCCACCTTGGAAGTAATTATCAGATACTCCCCACAGGCTAAGATTGCTGAATGCATTATGGGTCCCTGCTGCAGCAGGATAGTGAGAGAGATGGAGAGAACTCAGATGAGATTCATACTCGACATTAAGTTAACTTTTCACCCCAGGAGAATTGGTCTTTTCAAAGCCACATGGGGCTGTGTGGTGGGGCTAGCACTGCAGAGAGACTTAGTTCTCCACCTGACTGTTGGTGAGGCAGCCAAAGAGATGCTCACAACCATGTGAGCACAGAAAATTAAACTTTCCCCTCTTTGGAGGGGCTGCAAGAGGCTGGAGGACATTGCTTGGCCCAACTGGAGAGGGCAGCGGCTCCCTCCAAGCCCAGCACTTCCCATCATCTGGAACCAGTAATCAGGTCCCATCTGCAGAAGGGTCCTGGCCATAAATGCAGGATGTCCTCACATGGCAGCCCTCAAACACTGAGCAGCCACGGTCAGGCAGCTCCTGTGCAGCGGGGCGCACATGGAGTCCAGGCTGCAAGAAGCGCTGTTGAGAAAGCTCACTATTAATTATGCTCCACAGTCCTGTTTTAATTAGAAGACAAACTGATGTGGGAATACAAGCCTAGATTCAGACCTCAGGCCTTTTCATTAATAATTTTCCCTGAACATGTCAAAATATTGCAGTCAGTTCACTCTTTTTCTTTTTTCTGCTTTGCCTCCTTTCTGGTTCAAGCACTGGGGACTGTTTGTTGGAGGAATCCATCCTCCTCTGGCATGCCATCCACAAAGGCCAGGCCTGAGTGTCCTCCCTTCTCCCAGGACCAAACAACCTTCCCCTGTCAGGCAGCTTCCCAGTGGCACTTACCATGTCTGTGTCTGAGACGGGGCCGAAACTTGTCACATAAATATCTGTCTTGACTTCAGTTACACTGTCTGGAAAAAAAAAAAAAAAGAAAGAAAGAAAGAGGAAAAAGCAATTAGATAATAGAGTTCATTGTCCAAGAGGGAAGTTGGGTGTTGGTGTGGTGTTTTTCATGGCAGATGCCACCCTGGCAAAGCCTTTGGTGACCTGGCACCACACTCGCTACTGCACTCAGCACAACAGCTGCCTTTATCAGTTGCAATTGAGCAAATCCATCTCTAAGCAGCTCCACTGCTCTCCAGTTACACCAAGATGAGTTTGTCCCACGCAGCCTGATGCTGTGTGTTTACGAAACACAGGCAGCTACTCAATACACAACACAGCACAGATCCATTTTCAATATAGAGATATGTGCTGAAACGCCTTTTAATCTGCAATCCCTTTGTGCCTCCCAGCCTGATAAACAGCCGAGGAATGTTCTACCAGTTTTAGGAAACCTTGGTTTTGTTACAGCTTCAGGCTTGTCTGTACATAAAAAGAATCAATATTCGGATTGCCTTTTTTCTCGCGCCGTGCTTGCTGTTCTCCTGATGAGCAACTGCTCCTGCAAAGCTGCTGCCCCCATGCATCGCACAAACAGCTGCACCCCAGTGCGCTGTCCTTGTGGATGCTGAGCTCCAGACACTGCCCATTGCCTCACTTCCTTCTTGGAGCAGCAAAACTTGGGGCAGTGTTACTCATGTGCCTTCAGGTCGAGATGAACTGAAGTGCTGCCCCGAACAAGGCCAGCAGCAGGCATTATTCACGCCAAGCAGCACACACATTGCTCTCATTTTGACTCCCTTCATTGCAATCTCGGCGTGTTCGCTAAATCAAATCTCTGCTGCTGTCCCATTTTGCAGGGAAAACAAGGCACAGCAAGTGGGTGACATTCTGGATTCACATCGCTATGCTCTCTGCCCACTGGGTTATACTGGAAAATGATGAATGAGATGAGTTCAGCACTATGCTAACATAAATCCTTTCTGCTTTAGGGATAGATCATGCAGTCGTACTCCTTTTGTATAGCACTGGCTGGCTGGGAGCTACTTTCCCAATGGAAGAATCAATTTAGAACCACTAGTAAGAGCTTTATTATATATATTTATCTGCAGTGTCCCATTGTGGCTACTGCAGCAGCTTTGAAGGTAGCCTGGATGGCCCATTGCTCAGCTCAGCTATGGAAATCCTTCCATCCCCTGACAGTTATTTTGCTGTATTATGAAGCTTAGCTTTGTGCTTCAAAGTTTTGTATCCAAAAATAAGATAATGCATTCTGTCAGGGTTTTCTCCTTAATGGCTCAACTATACGTATACATGTCTTTAGTTATTATGGCTGGCGAGCATCTGACGCAGCCTGTGGCTGGTATTATTGTGCTATATAAGTAACCCTTGATCTTGTCTGGATGTGATGAAAAGAAGGTTAAAGAGAAATATGTATGCAATACATATCTTTCTGAAACACCCAGAAGCAAATGAGACAGCATCCTGAGCAAAGTGAGCTCTGTAAGACTTAAATACTCGGGATATTCTCTCCACCTTCCTCCAAGCTAGTCCCCAAATGAGATATGTAGCAAAGAAGAAACCTCCAGTGAAGCGAGGCTCTTTAACATATTCTGTGAGAGAAAACTCATTATACTTCAGAGAAAACACAATATTTCTCCCTCCCCTCCTCTTTTCCTGGTGTTCAGCTTGCTCACCATAAATAATTTGCAGCTGTACATCTCAGAGCAGCTCCACGGCTGGCCATGCAATGCAGCAGCCAGGTGAGCCTTGTGGGAGCTCTGCATATTGCAGGGCAGCTCCATCATTGGCACATGCTGGGGCTCTGGGCTCAGACACTGGGTTATCGATCTCCCCCAGAAAATTGGGGAAATTGGGCTCCCTGCACCCCTCATGGCAAAAACCAGACTGAACCTCCCCATTAATATGTGCACCTAAGGCAGGGCAGGAACCAGGATCCAGAGGGATTTCTGAAATTGAACCATTCCTGAGCAAGCAGGGATTTTAGCAGAGCAGGAGAATTCTGCGATGAGGAAAACACCAGCAGAGCAGTCCCAGCCTCTGAGATTTGCTTCCTGCGTGATGCTGCAACCTGAGGTGCCTGCACGGCTCACGGCCCTGTGACAGTGATACCTCCTCGCCCCTGCATCCCCAGCAAGAAGGATCTGCACACACCTGGGCAGCATCAGAGCAGAACTGCCTGCCCCAGTTTCAGAGGTACAGCAGGGACACCCCAATTCATTCCCAGCCCATAGCCCAGCTGCCTTGCCAACATAGATATGATAACTAAGCAGAGAATTAGGCATTATCCCCAGACCTGTTGCAGAACATGTAGGAGCACTGTGTTCCCATCTGCTGCCACCTGAGGACTGGGAATAGAAGACAACACCTGGAAACAGCAATGGGACTAGAAGAGTACGGGATTTTGGGGCTCAGCATTGTTGAACACGGGCAGAGTTAAGTCAGCCAAGTGGCATGTCCTGCTCCTGTGCCATTTAGAACCATAGAATCAATCAGGTTGGAAAAGAACACTAAGATCATCTAGTCTAACTGTCGACCCATCAGCACTGCCCCTTCTCTCCCAGGCACAAAGTCCCTCCCTGTGGGTAATGCTTTGCTTCCACTGCTCACATTCCACTGCTGGGCAGATCTGCAATGCAAATGTAAAACAAATGCTGCAACATCCCTTCCCACGGCGTTACCATGGCACTCCCTACACCTGCCTGCTTCTTAAAGCCGCTCCTTTCTTTCTTCAGGAATTTGTTACTTCCCCCGTGCAGGCAACAAACCCTCTATTAGCATTATGCGGAGGGCTGGATTCTGCCACCCCATGCCAGCAGGGTGGGCTGCCTCCCTTTCATATGCAGCGTAAAGCAGTGCTTTGGGGTTCCCATTCCACAGCAACCACTCGCCCATCCCCTCCCAGCCCTGGTTTCTCTGCACACGGCCAGGCAGAGGCGGGCATCCCCCTCCCCGCACTCCCCCCCTTTAAGTGCTCACGGCTTCCCGGGCCCGTGAGGAGATGGTTATTATTTACCAAATGACTGAGTGCTATTTTTACTCGCTTCTGCTGTGGGAGCAGAGGCAGAGCCGGAATACAAATCACTGCGCCTCTCTCCTCCCGGCTGTGGATGGCAGCGCTGCCTCGAGCGCTTATAGGGGGGCTTAGGGGCGGGGGTGGGAACGACTGTGAAGGCTCTTACTAAACGTCTTGATGCACTCATCGAGTGCTGCTTATTTAAGAATCTCAGCCGTATTATAACCAATTTGTCCGGTTGCATTTTGGCTCTGGATGTGCCAAACACGGTCACGTTTCCCAGCCGGAGCTCCCGGAGCCGTGCCGTCAGTCTGCAGAGTGATGCACCGGAGGTTCCCCGCTGCTGCGTGCTGCTAAAACGGGGGCAAAGCCGCAGCAGCTCCGTGCTGGGGATTCCGGGCTTCCATGCTGACGTAGGGAAGGCTGCGCAGCCTCAGCTCGCCGAGGAGCTGGGTGAAAGAAGGACGGGGGTTTCTGAGATAACTGCAGTAAGCAGAGAGCAGGACGGTGCTGTCGCAGCACCCAAGGGTACCAGCCCCAAATCTGCTCAAGAAGTTTCTGAATGCACGTGGTGAGGGCAGCGTCACCGTGCAAAGAGAGGGGATGGCACAGCCATCCCTGCAGCACGTCGGAGCGAGTGTGCCGGGTGGCACGGTGCGCTGGAGCCAGCATCTCCAGGAAGGGAAACACAGAAGGGCAGTCAGTACAGCCAGCCCCACCTCCTGCCTTCCCCAAAGCTCTTGCCTCGCTAACTAATAAGCAGCAGATCATTTTTGCAGCTGCTTTTTGGGTGCCTTCGTCTTCATTTTCTCAGCTTTTTACAGTGGGGATTTAATTTCCTTTCAGTTTCAGACTCTGGAACAAAGGAGGAATAGGATATCCTCCCCTCCCACATCCTGTGCTGCAGCCTCAGGAGTGCAGCCTCTGAGGAACACAGAGCTGACCTATGCCACTGCCCTTGGCTGTGCTGCCCTTGGAGGTGGCACGCTGTAACTGCAGCCCACGCCTCACCCTGATCCCCCTCCGCTCAATGGCATCTCGGTCCCATTGCACCAAACTCAGCGTCTGTATTTCCAAATGCCATTTGGCTGCTTTAGTGCCTCAGCATCCCTGAATATGAAATGACTTGTCCAGAAGTAGTGGCCAATCTCACACCAGATGCACGTGCCCAGGTTTCACAAATTCATCCTCTGAATCTTTCCCCAAATTGAATGGCAGCAAGCACAGGTATGCCAAGCAAAACAAGAATATATATAAGAGACTTTGGTCATCTTATCTGCCTTCCTTACAGAGGAATAAATTGCCACCATCTCCATGAAGAACACAAACAGTAGAGAGCTATGTGATGAAGCTTGCTGCCTCCAAAGGGAGGGCAATCCTGGAGGCACTTGTGCCGCCAAGACTTGGCACCTCTGGTGGCATCTGCCTCTCTCTAGTGAGTACAGAAGGAGAGGAGTGTGAGGGTCTCCTGGATGAAGGCTGGCATTAGCTTCATGCTCCCACCTATAAAGGGCAATGGGGTTAAAAACAACGGGATGCTCACCCACTGCAGAGTGGGGTCAGCCAAGGACTGTGCACGGGAAACTTGCTCTCTGCAAAATAAACCACAGAGTGAGGAAAGAAACAATATAAATGTCTGAAATAAATGTCTTATCTCAGCAAAAGCAGGGGTGAGTAAAAGCCTGCAGGGGATTGCCAATGAGACATTTGGATCAGATCTGTATCTAGCTCTGCCTATATGTCATCAACTATTTGTCTAATGTGGTTTGCTCGGCTGTTAGCTTGTTTTCAGAAGCAGTCTCACAAAGTGGAGATAACTCAGCCCATGTAAGGGATCCAACCCTTCTCTATTACACTCCTGGTGACTTCTGAAGGCTTGGGATCAAACAGGCCTCACAAATGTAAAGGAATCAAGGCTGTTGGTCACTCTCCTTGAAAATATCAGCTGGCTGCACCCAGTGCCCTTTACAGGAACTGTAGTGTGACCATCAG